AATTCAGCAATGATCATTTACTAAGAGAAGTAATTTTGGCCAACATCTATAGTTGAAGCATTATAAAAGCATCACCAGTTTGCTTATTTTCAGGCAAAAAATTCAAGCACTTTAATCTGTATAATTAATTATTGATTTTCTTTTTTTTCTTTGGTGGGATGTACTTTGGTGAAATTTCTATTTCTGAACTCCATTTAATTATTTGCTTTGAAGGTGATGATTTAAATTCCTCTTCAATCTCAAGTGCATTGGATAAAGATCTGAAGTTTTTGTGTACAAGAAAATAAAAAATATAAAAATGATATAAACATAGCTAACAAATTTATTTTAAATTTAATGAAATTAAATTGCTTACTCTAATTTTGACAAAGGTTTTTTTTTTAATGCAATAAATTTATTTGGAAGTGAAAGTTTCCCTATATTTTGTGATGTGTATGGTTTTGGCTTGATTAGAGATAATTCATATATGTTTACTTCATTCTCTATTAAAAAAAAAACAAAATTTATAGTTACTATTTCTAAAATTTAACATTTACTTGAAACTATGAACTATCAAGGAATATACATTTATGTCTTTAATTCTGCACTTATTATGTTTTGGAAGAGAAGTTTCAATGAAATATAACATATCATGCATTTCAACACAAGATTTAAATTTATCACTAGAATTCTTAGTTATATCATCAATTATACTGTCTTTTGCCACTCCAAAACTAAACTGATACTCCATTGGTTTATAATGCATATCTACTTTATTGATTGTATTTTTCAGTACTGGTAAAATATTTGACCATTCTTGCCTAGTTATTTATTGCAAATTATTTGCATGACGTTTGGCACAGATTGCTGCATGACATTTGGTTTGTGATCTTAACACTAGACCAGAAAAAACACTCCCTCCAAAATCAGAAATTCAACACTTATACATGCCTTTTTTGTGCACTTCCACATTATCACATGTGTGACAAACTATTTCACCCTTTTCTGTGCTTTTTGGACAAATATAACTAGGAGTGTTATCATATTCATGTTTTGCAACTGTTTCAGCCATTTGTCACTTTTTTCATTCCTCAGATTTTTGGTGAAACTTCTTTACCTCTTCTTGCTCTATTTCCATTCTTTCCTCCATCTCTTCTACTTGTGCTTCTAACTCTTTTTGTTTGGCTTCCAAAACCTTAATCTTTTCATCCTTAGCTCCGATAATGTCTTTAAGAATTGGGGCATGGACAATAGAAAAGGGCATAACTACCAAAATTGTGATTTTGAGTTAACAACATTCCTATGCGTAATTTACTACAAAGATTAATTTTAGCTTAGAAACCATACCCACTTTGCTTAATAAAATTTCGAGATAATTAAAGAAAACTGCAAGACGTACAAGAACCAACAAATTGGTATTATACTAAAACAAGTAATGATAAACCTAAATCCGGAATTTAGTTTAAATCATGTAACACGAATTTATTAATTTTTTTTTGTTATTATTATTATTATTTTTATTAAACGGAAAATAAAAACAAATAAAATTTTATCATCTAAAATTCACTTTTTCACAACACAAACAATTGAATCTGATATTTAAAAAATGACTTCTACACATTTATTTTTTAACAATATTTTTACTGAGACACATCCTAATTTAATTGACTTAGAAGAATCTTTTTGCTAATTTGAAAACAAGTTATATGCCTAATTTGATTATTAACAAAAATGAAGAAATAGTTGATGAAACAGAGATAAGTCATGATGAAGAAGAAGACAGTTGTGAAGCAGAAGAAAGTGATTATGAAATGGAAATGTTGTCTAAAGAACAATTAGAAAAATTCAAAAATATATACAATAAAAATAAAATAATGGATGACCAAATTATTGACTCTGAAGAGCAAATAGAAATAGATCATGATATCAACCATTATGTAGCAAATTTGCTAGAAAGAGATTGTTGTCAAAAAGAATGTTTGAAAATGAATTTAAATTTTAATGATGTTAAAACTAGATATAAATGTTTTCTTGATCTTAAAAAAACTGAACAAGATATTTTTTTAAAAGGTTTTCTTTCTGCTAGTTTGAGAAATGAAATAACTACTAGAGGAGAAAAAAGGAGAAGATTGGCAAATGTCTGTTCTTTTGGAGGAGTTGAAATTTGTCTGACTGCATTCATGGGTATCTATGGTATAGGTAAAAGAAGATGGGGAAATGTTAGAAATCATTTTAATGAGTTTGATATACAGCCAAGAACACATTCTTTAACAGGAAAAGTAGGTAATAAAGCAGTATCATTTGATGGGGTTTTGCAGATTATTAAATTTATATTAAATTATTCTAATACAAATGGACTCCCATCTCCAGGTAAATATAAATTATTTAAATTTGAAAAAGAAAAGTTTATAAATAATTAATTAATGTAAAATTTATTATATATAGGAAGAAAATTTAAAAAAGACACAAAGCCTATTATATTTCTCCCAGCAGATGAAAATCACACTACTGTATTTAAATATTTTATTGATGCAGTTGAAGAAAATTCTGAAATATATGTCTCAAATAGAACATTTCGAAGAATATGGCATACATATCTTCCAGAAATTAAATTTCTTACTCCAAGAAGTGATTTATGTCATATTTGCAAAGAACATAGGTTCAATGCAAATTGTTGGATGGAAGAAGAAAAGGAAATGAAGGTTAGAGAAATGGAATGATCATATTACATGGGCAATGAAGGAACGTGAATATTATAGGTATCAATCATGGTATATTTTTTTTCTTTTTTTTTTTGTTAAAGATTTTTGCTAAATTTATATGTTGATTTTTTAGAGATTGCATAAAAAATGCAAAGGAAGCATTTGAAAATTTAAATCAAGATTCAAATCCCACTAGATCTAGAAATTCACTTAATATTAAACTTCACATTTCATGGGATTTTGCAGAACAAGTTCATATCCCATATTCTTCACAACAAGTGGTATGCAATATTATTTTTATTTATATATAATTTTTTCAAAGGTAATGGATTTTAAATTGTGCTATTATAAATAATAGTCAAGTTCATATTTTAAATCTTTATATAAAGTTCAAGTATTTGGCATTTGTGAAGATTTTAGACCCAGACAGGTGAAATAATAATTCTTTTAATCAACTCTTTAAATTACAGTATATAATAACTATAATTATCATTTATTTAGATTAATTATCTTATAGAAGAATCACAGTATATTGGTAAAGGAGCTGATGCTGTGATTTCTTTAGTTCATAATTATTTTGAAAACAAAGTCTTGATGAAGAAGAAATAATAATTCATGCAGATAATTGTTCTGGTAAAATAAAAACAATGCAATGATTCAATATTTGGCCTGGAGAGTGTTAACAGGTAAACATAAAAGAATTACATATTCT